CAGCTGCACTTCAATGCTCTTTAAAGGAACTAAAGCAGCAAAAACATGGTCATGTATAAACAACACAAAAAGTTAAATATCTCATCAACCAAAATACCTCTATGTGCTAAAATCCATTAAAGACACAAAATAAATACATCTGTTTTTAAAATGAGCCATAAATCAATAGTGAAAAGAAACTAAACAATCAAGCTTAAATAGATGCATACTTGGTTCCTTCCATAAAGTGAGCAGACCCCAGGAGTTCATCATCATTCCTTGGAGAAAACAAGAAGAGGCGTTGAAAGATTGTAATAATAGTAATAGAATTATATTTCTGGGAAATGACGGCACTTTATAGACAGGCTTATAAAAACTCAGCAAAACTGCATACTGTACGGAAATCCTGGAATTCCTGTACGGAATTCCTGGAGGAAACCGATGCATTTCATTTGGACCTAATTTATCAGTCTTGCGTGTGCTGGTTAAGATTTCAAAAGGTGTTTTAATGAGTGTCAGACCCACTAATCTGTATTTAATCAATGGATTGCACATAGCCCGTTTGTAGTACAAGGTGGAGTGAAGTCACAGGTGTTGTGCCAAGAATTACCTCCCCTGTCGCGGGAGCATGCATCACCCTAAACTTGAGAATTTTGGTGCGCAGATACACTCGAATAAATAGGATTTTTACTTTTATGGAGACAAAATGTGCTACAGTCAGTGTGCAATGGATAAATTATCTGCTCAGTGGGTGGGAATTCATGATTTTGCTTTCAACAAAATTCTAGATCATTTCTGACACTTTATTTGTTAAACTTAGGACCTGGAACCTACCAAAGATTTCCTCCCCTCCCTATTTTCACATTTATTGTCCTAGCCTTATGAAATCACAGAGACTAGGCAAGATTATGTGGGGAATCATTGTATCATTGTAAACACGTTATTTATCAAACTAAGCAGGGGAGGGAATCTTTGGCAACTTGGAATATGGAAGCTACCGAAGATTCCCTCCACTGCCTATTTTCACATTATTTCATTTTCATTTCATTTAATCTGGTAAGCCTAACTCCAAACTTACTCCATCATCTCTCATCTCCTGTTTTGCTGAAGTTAAAGCCTGGTTCATCTCTAATACCCTTAAGCTAAATTGCAATAAAACAGTTGTTGGGAACCAAGTTTTAACCAAAACTGAGAGTTTCTCTCAATTGATAGTCCCACTGCCTCCCCCTCTACTCAGCTCTAGAACCTACCGGTAGGTATCATTTTTGAGAGTCTCTCTCATTCACCTCCCACATCAATAACATCTGTTGAGCCAAGAACCTCCTAGTGATTATCAAGCCATAAAGTAGCATGTAAAATTAACATGTTTACCTGTAAACTATATGGAATACAACTATTATATGATGTAAAGAAAAGTTGATAAAAGTAAAAACATCAGAAAAGCACAAACTTAAGACTTTCTAGAACATAAAATAAACTAAAAAGGTTAAAATCTACAGAAGCCTATGCAGTATTAAAAGATAATACATTTCCTTAAATTAGAGATTCTATGAATCCTTAAATGGTGCACGAGATGCATCTCCGGAAAAACGTTCAGTGAAACTAAAGCATCGGGATTCAGATTGGTATCACAATAATAATCCAGGATGTTTATTGAAGTGAGATGTTCTCCTCCCTAGGGTAAGGATTAGCTATTTGCTCAACAATAACATACAGAAATAGAGTAATGTTTGAAATGTTTTTGTACAAAATGTTACTTGGATTTTAACTAAACTCTAAAATCCTAAAAGTGAAAGTAATACGTATTTGACTCAGTTTTTAAGCAAGTTATCTTTTTTGAGGAAACAAACTAATAATGTTGAAACAACAAAATAATGAGATCGGGTTCTAGAAGTGAAGAACTGATTTTTTTAAGAGACGTAAGACGTTAGTTATGCTTTAGATTATGTTAGATGATTCTACGTGAAGCGTAAAATAAAAACTGTTAACTGCACTGAAGATTAATATAGAAACAGATCAGAATTCAAAATGCAGATGACAAAAAGCTTAAAAGACCAACTCTTCTAGCTCAAAGCCAGTCCAGTAAAGTATATTAATACTTACTCAAATATCTTTGTGTTTCAAAAGACGTTTCTTTTCTGTCCTTCTCGCTCTCTGCTGTTAGGTGGGACGGGAAATGGTCTGATTAAACAACATCCGTGCACTGCCTTAATAAACGCTCATTCAAAGCCCACAGGAAGAGAACCATTTTATTTATTTTTTTGTTTCTTTTCTCGTTGCATAGCTTGACAGAGAACTACAGGGATAATTAAAGTCAGAGTGGACACAAAACTTGATAACATTCTGCAGCTCATGGTAAGGAAAAGATCTTCACCTATTGCGGATAGGTGTTGCTGTCGACAGTAGGAGCATAATGTGGCAGAGTAGGACAAGCAATGCTGAAATGTGTGTGCACAACTTAATTTAAATTCCTAGCTATCAGTATGGAGCCAGATAACATTTGACAATAGCATAAACATTATAATAGGAATAGTTAAAATGTATCCACAAGGGTTTGCAACAGCAGGGATTTCTTTCATTTAAAAATCACAACTGTAGACCAATAAGATGAAAAAGTTCATGATTTCTGTCTCCAATAAGTAATGCAGATTGTCAGACATGTACATTTCTAACAGTAGACTACTAAATAAAACAACAGGGTTTACAAATGGCAAAGCACCTCAAGTAGTTAATTCAGGAATATGACATCAATGTCAGATTATGTGATCTAGGTGCATAATCTGCTTCTGTCTCCTTGAACCCCAGTCGGCCTCAGCAGATGGCCGCTCACAGTTAGCCTGGTTCTGCTGGAGGTTTCTTCCTGTTAAAAGGGAGTTTTTCCTCTCCACTGTTGCTACAAGCATGCTTAGTGTGAGGGATTGTATTTGAGTCAATGCAATCAACTGGTTTTCCTTAGATAGAAAACTTTGAATCAATTTGACTGTATGATCTGGTTGAACTGTAAAGTGCCTTGAGATGACATGTGTTGTGAATTTTGCGCTATATAAATAAACTGAATTGAAAAATTGAATTAATCTATCCAATAAATTATAAATCTAGATGTCTTTATAAATGTTCATATAAAGAGGAAAAAGGATTTTTTTGCTTATGTTCTCATTTTTATGATACTGCTATAATATTTACCTTTTCTTACCAGTCTTATGCATGAAAACACTGGTCAAAAATTGACTAGAAGACTACTAAGATAATAATAATAGACAGTATTTGCAGTGTTTATTTTTCAGGTTAAATAGCACCAAATTGCCCCTGGATGATGCTTCCACCCTGTGGCAAAATGGTTGAGCCTAGGTACACTATGGAGTCTAAGATGAAAGCCAGAAAGCTGAGAGTGGTTTGATTATATTATTTATTGTCTTTTCTTTTATAATTTAGTTGCTATTGGAGAGGAACCTGTTTAAGGGTTGCATTGTAGATGTAAATGATTGTTTTACTCATGTTATTCTTTCCTGGTGTCATAATTGGAATACATGCTCTTGAAGCAAAAACAGGACCCAGGAACTCTGTGATGTGAAGGACCTTGTATAGGATCAGAAAAGGTGATAAAGCTTGATTGTATTTATGTCACCTACTCAGCTGTGTTAACAAATGTTTAAATGACAAAATTCCTAAAATAAATGTGGAACGTTTCGAAGCTGTAACAACAATTGCACAGTAGGATTTGACAGCCATTTTTGTCGAGTAAAGTTTCCTCCTGTTTTTGTTATCTTAGGAAGGCAAGATGATTGTATTTTCGTTCATGTTTCTTTGAACAGGTAAGATGATTGTTAGGTTCAAAAACGTAGGTTCGTAAAAGAAGGACTGAGTACACACAGAAAG